CCCAAACGGCCCAAAAGGGTCGTCCTGTGTGGCTGACGGAACCCCCCGAGACGGCCCAAGAGGCCCCAAAGCCGGCCCAGGAGGCCCCAAAGACGGCTTCAGGGAGGCCCAAGAGGGCCTCGTTCGAAATCATGTTCCCGGAAGCCTCTCCGGGAATATGATTTCCGGGTTCCGAGGACGCCCAAGTGACCCACAAGACAGCCTCAGCGAGGCCCAAGAGGGCCCGAGATGGCTTGAAGATGGCCGAAGAGGGCCCCAAGAGGGCCTCCGAGAGGCAAACATCAGCCCGTCCCCGTAGTAAAACGTACATTTTCAGCATGCTCGCTGACTTCGTCTTCGCAGTGCCCCAGACGCCCCCGAGGAGCCCCAAGACAGCCCAAGAGAGACCCAAGAGGGCCCCAGACGGCCCAATCGGGTCGTTCTGTGTGGCTGACGGAACCCCCCAAGACGGCCCAAGAGGCCCCGAAGCCGGCCCAGGAGGACCCCAAGACGGCCTCAGGGAGGCCCAAGAGGGCCCCGTTCGAAATAAGGTTCCCGGAAGCCTTTCCGGCAACATGATTTGCAGGCTCCCAGGGCCCCCTACTGGGACCCAAGACAGCCTCAGCGAGGCCCAAGAGGGCCCGAGATGGCTTCAAGATGGCCGAAGAGAGGGCCCCGAGAGGGCCTTCAAGAGGCAAACATCGGCCCATTGCCTTCGTAAAACGTGCATTTTCAGCATACTCGCTGGCTTCGTCTTCGCAGTGCCCCAGACGCCCCCGAGGAGCCCCAAGACAGCCCAAGAGAGACCCAAGAGGGCCCCAGACGGCCCAAAAGGGTCGGCCTGTGGGGCTCACGGAACCCCCCCGAGACGGCCCAAGAGGCCCCGAAGCCGGCCCAGGAGGCCCCCAAGACGGCCTCAGGGAGGCCCAAGAGGGCCCCGTTCGAAATCATGTTCCCGGAAGCCTCTCCGGGAACATGACTTCCGGGCTCCCAGGGCCCCCTAGAGGGCCCCAGGACAGCCTCAGCGAGGCCCAAGAGGGCCCGAGATGGCTTGAAGATGGCCGAAAGAGGGCCCCAAGAGGGCCTTCAAGAGGCAAAAATCAGCCCGCCCATTTTCAGCATGCTCCCTTGCTTCGTCTTCGCAGTGCCCCAGACGCCCCCGAGGAGCCCCAAGAGAGACCCAAGAGGGCCCAAGACGGCCCAAAAGGGTCGTCTGTGGGGCTCACGGAACCCCCCAAGACGGCCCAAGAGGCCCCAAAGCCAGGAGGCCCCCAAGACGGCCTCAGGGAGGCCCAAGAGGGCCTTCGTTCGAAATCATGTTCCCGGAAGCCTCTCCGGGAACATGATTCCCGGGTTCCCAGGACGCCCAAAGACAGCCCCCAGAGGCCCCGGACACGCCGAAGATGGCCTCAGGACGGCCGACGACGCCGCCAAAACGCCCCAAGAGCGCCTCCAGAGGCCCCTCCAAAGGGCCCCAGAAGCGAAAATCATGAATTTTCAATGGTTTTTGAAGCATTCTTGCGCTCTCCCATGTTCCGCCTCCCCACGGTCCCGGACCGCGTCAGAGGCCCTTCAGATCGCTCCAAGACGGCCGAAGAGGCTCCCAAGAAAGCCCAGAGACGGCCCAGGAGGCTCCCCAGATAAGTCAAGAGGGCCTCGAGAGCGCCCCGAGAGAGCCCCAAGAGCGACCCAAGAGGGCCCGAAGAGCGCGACATTTCGAGGTCTCCGGCCTGAGAGGCTCCTAGGACGCCCCTGGAGGCCATCAAGAGGCTCCCAAGAAGCCCCGTGAGGCTCCCAAGAGGCCCCCCGGAAGCCCCAATAGGGGCCCCCAGGGAAGCCCCCTGCGGGCCCCAAGACACTTCGGTAAATCGTATTTCCCAGATAGCTTTCCGGGAACATGATTCCTTGGGCTTCCGCCCACCGCCCCAACCATGTTTCCAATAGGCTTGCCGACAAGGCCAAAAGGCGCCCCTCGGTAAGCCCCCAGAGGCCC